ATCTTGTTTTCTTGCATAATCATGATTTCATGTTTTGGTGTCTTTAAAACACCCTTGTGAGGGAATTTGAGTGCAGAATTCACCTTCACCTTTTATAATGTTTGCCAGTCTTTTACAATGTCTTTCCCTGAGTGACTCACTTTTCTTCCAAGACATGCTCCTTGGGCTAATTTATGGACCCAAGGACTCATTTTATTTGTACTCATTTTCACAATATTAGTTTAAGTAATAAAATTGTGATAATGAACACAAGTGGCCTAAACAGGTTAAGGAAGAAAAATGAAAACAAGTTCCAGGTAAGTGAACAATTCAACCAGAAAGAGTAGAAATGCAGGACGTACAAGAGAAGAGCCTTAATGAGGCACAGGTCATTTAGGGGTTTTCAGAGGAAGGTTAAGAACCTACCTATAATACAGTTAAATGGAGACCAGATAAGATGGCTATAGTATTTGGGAACTGAGAGGCATTAAGGATAAAAAGCATCCTGAAAATTACTCAGTCTAGTTTTGTGCCTGGTGGAATCACTCTTAAAACACTCAAAAGAGATAAACCTTTCTTGTATTTTCAAAGAAATCAATAGAAAATTCAGCTAATTATCACAGATATTTTACATTTATTTCAATGTTTCATTGCCATTACTATCAGGAACCCCTTCCTTTCTCTAACCCAAATGACACATACTACAATTTAGTCTCATTTAAGGTCTGTTTCCATAAATATGAAGTACTGTGCTTCACATAGGTAGAAATAGTTTAAGAGTTTGCTTCAGAAGACGAATAGTAAAATTACACAAATTTAATCATTTTGTCAAGGCATACACTTCATTATTTTAGCTCACACTGAAGAAAACCTTCCAATACAAAACAGACCAGAACTGCAATATAAATGCTACTGATTATGCCCTGGGAATCTACAAAATAATATAATCAAATGAGAACCTACAAAATAGTTCTTTCTGGTTACTATTATTAATTTTTCCACACTTATAATGATATATGACTTAAATTACATAATTTTCATCTTGACATAATAAAGAGAAAAACATCTAATTAAGGGAAAATATACTATTTTTAATTATACAAATCAGAACTCTTTGAAAAGCCACACAAGGAGGATATCAATAATGAAGCAAAACAATGAAATGTAGCCAAGGAGATTGATGGAGACAAGGAGGAGACTCCTCCACAGTGAAACCTCAGAGGCTTTTGGGAAGCCAGAAGGGTCTGTTTAAAGAAGACCCCAATAAAAGCAAGTAACGGCAGCAACCTGAAATATCTACAAAATATTTAATGGCTCTGAAAGAAAAACCTAAATGTGATAAGCACAAAAGGGGCAGATCTCATGCTGAAAGGCTAAGAGAGTTTTTCTTACCAAGACAGAAGCAAAATTTAAAAAAAAAAAAAATTCCCTCCAAACCAAGAGTACATGAAAACATGGCTCCGATTAGAAATGGCAGAAGAAATGGACTATATCTGAATGTAAGCAGACTCCTGCCCCCACGGCCACGCTAAAACACCAGAACCCTGAGGCTACCAGTTTGTGCCAAGGTACTGTGCGCAGAGGATAACACAGGATGAAAAACATTAGCTCTGCAGATAGCATTGCTAAATCCCAAATTTCTGGAAACCTTAACTTGAATTGAGGAGGTTAAATGCAAAACTTTGATATAAGAGGAAGAGAAGCCTTTGCAACCAGTGAAAGAAACACATTTTAACTTAAAGGATTTCTTTTTAGAAGCACCCAGAAAACAGAACAAACATCAAGATCCACTCAAGTACTTTGTACATAATGATAAATGAATTGCTAAATCAAATGTACCTAGAAGGGGGTAAGCAACTCTTTCATGAAAAGAAATTTCTAAAGCACTAAAAATTTTTAAAGTAAACTTTTAAAAGCTTGGAAAAACTAATCATATCCTCTATGTAAATCTTGACTGAGGATGTTTCAGATCTACGTGTAATCTTACACGTCCTTGTTGCTATTGAGTATTCTGCCTTTTATTAACATATTCTGCTACTCATCAGTTCACTCACATAG